GAAGCCAAAAAGCAATATTTGCAGAATGTATGGAAAAAAACCCTCCGAAATGTTCTTCTCATATTACCTTCAGAGATGTTAAGCTGGTTAATGAACTATATTCATATTTACCTTCACCCTGCTACAGGTATCAGTGGTGATGTTATTACTGGTTGGTATTACCAATGGGATTTACCTTTATCCATGCTTGCATTTGATAGCATAAACAATCTCATTATGTGGTCCAGAGGACTTGTTATGCTAAGAAATAAATTTTGGCATTCAGTTTCTAGTCCACCTACACATATTCTGTGTAAATAAGCTTTACAATTGCTCTGGATCTATTGGCTGCTAAAATTTCCCCTCATTTGTCTTCAAGAGAGTGATTAGAGGCAGATAGAGGTCGCAGCTAAATTTGAGTGGCAGTAAGCACTTGAAAGAAAACAGCTTATTTTCCAGAAGAATGTTTTCATGACATAAAGCACAAAAGAAAAAATTGAGAAGGATAAAAGGGAGTCCATTTCCTGCTGTGATGCAAGTAACATCCAAACTATTTAGTCACCCGAGGAGGACATGAAAGCTGTTTCACATTTCACCATGGTTTTATTTTACATTTCACTATTTCAGGAATTTCCCATAATTCTTTATATAATCTAATTGCATGTCTTAAAGATCTCATCTATAGAACATCTACAGAATGAAACTAGGGCAAAGAAATATTTCCACCTTTGAGTAGATTGCATGTAAAACCAAGGTAGACTGTGACTTGATGCTACTGTGGTATCAACTATCAATGTGATCAAAAAACCCAGTGTGGGCAGCCTTTATCAGCCCCTGGTGCTTATCAGCCAATGGCCCAGAGGCCACATGGACCATACAGATCACAAACGTTTGCCAGCTGGGGAACACAGAGGGATTCGTATTTTTATCCCATGTCTACACACCCCACTGTAACTACATCAGTTAGAGCAGCTAACCAGTTTTTCACCATTCCTTCTCTCAGAGACTGCCACAAGAGCTTCATAGACACCATCACTGGTCACATGAGCCGAGTGCTTCAGAGCTGGGGCTCCTCAGAGTGCAGGATGAAGATGCACACACCCACAGAGGTGCATCTAAGGAGTCAAACACCTTGCACTTGTATAGGCTAGAAGGCACCACAGAACAATGACAATATGAAAAGACAACTGAAGTGTGCCCTTTTGTTGCAAGCTTGAGGTGGAACATGGATTCAATCACCTCAATGCATGTTGGCAATCCCTGAAGGTCAGAATAGATGTTAAGATGCTCCGTGCTCCTCAGGTTGCAATTAGCTTTCCTGCAGCTCCAAAGGGGAAAGCTGGGGCTTTTCAGTCACGTCCCTATTGCTTTGTGTCAAGTGTCCTGTACCTGAATGTTGAGCAAGAGAGATTACTGCTCAAAGATCCTACTGCTGACCCTAGAGCTTAGCAGAGTGCATGAAACTCAGGAATTATTGCAGAACCTCCTTACATATGAGTGGGTTTGGAGTGGTTTTTTCCCTACTATCACCATACACCCACAGGAGTACCTGTATGTACACCCACATGCATGTGCACACACACACATACACACACATTCCTGACACTTCAGAACTCTGTCCTCTCAGCCACACTACAAATTACCTGAAGAGAAACATTTCCAGATAAACATGCTGTGGAGTAAAGCCATATGCAGTGGATTAGCATCCACTGCAGAAAACCAAACCTATGGTGTAACTGAAGTAAACCACTACTTCTTCCTAAGCTTCATTTCTAAAAGCAGCTCTCAACACCTCTATTCTGTTCAATGTTGTTACTACCATCCCAACTCAAAATTTTCTAGCTACAGTTCCCATGTTAAAAGTCTGTACTGAAAACCATTTTGCTCTCTCCCCTGGTCTAACTAGATCTGTTACAACTCACCCTTACACTGAAGGACAAACCAGTACAGTCTCTGCACAGACTTTCAGCAACGGCACGTGTGTGTGCATGCACATGCCTCCTGTTTTAACATTTTAAACACAAAATATTTCACATCCCCAGAAACATGCTTGCCACACCTATGAAAGAGAAACAAGGAGGATCACTGGGCCTCACAATAATCACTTAAATAAGAGGACTCTTATAAGCTAAAAGTCTAGGGGATATGTTTTCAGACTTTGAAATTAAGTGCCTGTTCTACACAAGGCCTAAAGCTTTCGCTCTTTTGTGAGTCAAGATTTGGGTGCTCCATTAAAATTTTGAGTCCCACACTGTGGATAAGTGTATGCTGCGGAGAGTTTGGGAATAGAGCTCCAAATTTCTCCAACCACCACAAAAAATGAAGCAACAGTTAGCATATCAACAAGTGGTTTTGAAGAGGCTATAAAAATTACCTACACCTGCTTCTCAAAGTCACTGAAAGCAACAAGATTCAGAAAGGAAGTGCATTAAGAAGAAATTAATGTACCAATGAAGAAATAGTTCAAACTAATTACATAATATGTAATTATCACAAGTAAGTATTTACAGATAAACTTCACTTCTAAAGGCAAACCTTTATTTTAGTGAGCACAGAGGTACTAGTGGTAGTGTTTGCCTGAACCGTTTGACAGAATCACTTCAGGCTTTGCAAATACACAATTCTCTTCTCTGGGGAGAAAGTCAGAGATGGACAGATGTTCTAGGAACTATCCTTCCATATCTAATTTTTTTTTCAAATAGTAATATACTTCTAAATCTTTTTAAACACTGGGTTTGTTTTGGCTTTTTTTTCAAAAAAAAAAAGCTTAAAAGATTACCAGTGCATTAAAATAATTAAATATGCCAAATTAATCTGTTTTAGAAACAGTTAATAAGCTTAGTGTGGCTCATGATGCTATCTGAACATACTACATGCAAAGGAGACTCTTAGCATGCACTAATGTGACCGGTAATCTGTAAACAAAATCTGCATCATGACTAAAAGTGCTTTTTGCTACCAGTAGCAGTGATTTTCCTATCTCATTCTGCACTACAATGAGTACTTTTCATATTTTAGTGACAAACCTCTGAATTTTCTTCTCCTTACTATTCTAAAGTTGGATCCCAATGTATTTAAATATCTTCTTTTCAGTGTCCATTGAGCTAACACGTTCTAATATTGCATCTGATCATATACATAACATACATAGTTTATCTGGTGAGTAGATTTACCAACAGTGAATTCTACCCTTAACATTTCATTATTGCAGTAAGCCTTATATATGTAAATAACTATACATATACATTCTGGGCAGATGGAGGCCACCATGCTGACAAAGTGTGTCTCTCAGGGATGGAAGGATGGAGATGTCCACAAGGGATACCTATTGACAGATTGTTGAAAGATGTTAGGGGAAAAATGCAAGATTTTTCTTAATTTTACTTTTAAGACTGAACCAAAAGCTAGGAAAACACCCTGAACAAACAAAAACCTACCAAAAAGGGCTCCCCCAAAGCAAACAAAAAACCCAACCCCCAAACAAAAGCATGATCTCAAGAAAAGAAAAACAGACAAACACTTGTTCCTAAAATAGGTAGTATTCATCGAATCAAAGAGTAATCCTTCTATCATTAAAGTGTCACTCAAAAAGAAGAACAAAGTAATTGCTTCAATGTTCTACTTTAAAGTCCCATTCCTAGAACACTAATACTGCTAATTTACAGGCAAAAATATATAGACATATACATTCAAGATCAAGTCCTTTTCAAAATGTTAATTTTGCTCATGTTGGTAATGGCTTTATAGAGTATTTTCTTGATGTGAACCCAGAATTAACTACAAATCAAGCCAGGAGTGACCAGCGAGATGGAGAGACCAAAACCGGTTCTTACCAGACTGTACACACAATTACATGAACAGGGGAATAAGGAATGTCACCTTTAATGTGACAGCAACTCCCTAATCGACTACTTTCATCATTAAGCTTCCAATTCATACACTCTTTAAAGGAAAGTAAATTCATCATTTCCCACACCCACTCCTGCACTTCAAGAAGCTTTTACCTATGCCTCAGACAATAATATACAACATCTAAAGCACTTTAACCACAAGGACACTAAGTCTGAGGATCTTAAATGGGCAAAAGATGAAAACACAAACAAGTGATTTATGCAAAAATTAATGAAAGTAATTTCTGCTGTTTTAGATCTCTTATATGACCTTAAGGCACTTACATTTATTAATAAAGCTTTGCAATTACATCCTGCAATTTCATACTCATGCCCTGCAATGATTTACAGATACAGAAAATCTGAAAAGTATCAGCTCTGGTAAAGATCTGAAGTATTAGAAGAACTCTTCCCCATTCTCACTCATGTCTTTCACTCTGCCTCTGAGTAAGCTGCTCTGAAAGGAAAAAAACTAAACAAACAACCCAAATCAATCAGAAACCTAGTGGCTGTTTTGTTGTGGTTGTTGGTGCTGCCCTGTTGGGGTTTTTTATTTGTTTTTTTTTCCCCAGGGAAATATTTATGCTTTCCTGTTAGCTGAAATATATCATTCTGCTAGTTTTAGTCTAAAAAGAAATTATGTCAGAATAGCCTGAGAATGTAATACATCTTTGTTAGTGTGTTCTCTAATAAAGCAGAAGAAATACCAAAGGAAGCAAGCAAATGTCCACAAAACACCAGTAGTCCATAAGTAACGGACTACCTTATTTACAACGGAACATCCCGTTATTTATAATGTGGTTACCTGGAACTTATCATAATCAATGATTTTATAAAAATGTCTAAATGCAGCTGCATCATGTCTAGCAATTCACTTAACCCAAATCTGGGGTCAGAGCCTTTCACCAGTTATGATAAAGTAGCACCTTAAAAAAAAACCAACAAAAAACCAAAAAACCAAACACATAAAAACCAAACTTGGTTTTATTTTTCCTATTTACATATACAGACATTTCTGCAATATAAAAGTTTAAAACCAAATAAACTGTACATATAATACATCAACTAAAATCTTCATGAACAAAATCTCAAGTTTGGAAGTTTGTTTAGAATTCATTAAATAAAGCAGCATTAAAATCCAACAAATGAAGATGAGGATGAAGAGGAAAACAATGACCACATAACATCTGCGTTCTGCCCTTCACTTTTATCATTTATGCTTGCTGAACCTTTGTCCTCAGTGTAACCTGAAAAACCTCGAAATTCTGAGTTTCTCTCACTTGTCTGAAATAAGTCCAAGAGGGCCTGCAGTGGTGAGCTACAAGTTTTTCTCTTCTCTTCAGGCACACAGTGTCCATCTGTGTACTTTACGCATAACTCCATGTTCTGTTTCCAAGTGCCTCTTTTATTCCTTCCTGAGTTAAGCTTCACTTTTCTGTGCAGCTTTACCAACGGAGAACTGCAGGCAGTGCTGGCAGCTGATGCATTATGTTCTTTGTTTACAGCAGCATCAGATACCTCAGCCTCCAGAACGACATTGTGCTGCATTTGTTGATGATTATCACACAAATCATGGCTTTTCTTGACAAACGTAGGATTGGCATCTGTTCTTTTCAAACACTTTGCTGGCAGAACTGCTGCATTGTTTAATTTTCGTTTAGGCTGTGATAGGCTTTTGTCTTTTTCACTAAAATCTGTAAGTTGGGTATGGGAATATGAAGAATATATGCCTTCCTGAAAACACTGTACATTCCTTTGGTTTACATCTGATTCCAGTATTTCCTTACTGAATGGCTCATAAACTCGAGACAAGTTCTCTGTGTATGCTTTGCCATCTTTCTGACGGGGTGGTTGTATGGAATTTGATGATACCACAGCCTCTCTTGGGTTTGCAGCACAATCAGTTTCAACGTTTTCATCCTTAATTCTAAACTTACCTTTTAGTTCTGAAGGTTGTGACAGGTGACAATGAAGAACTGAACAGACAGATGCAGAACTAGGGGTAGGCACTGGCACAGAATTTGGTTGTACTTCTGCAGGTTGGCAATCCAGTTTGAGCGCTCGCATTGCTGTGTTCTTCCATGAGTAAGTTTTCAAAGAAATGCGCTGCTTTTTCAGTCTTTCTTTCAGCTCATCTGGTCTGGCTATCTTTCCGATAATGGGAGAAAAACATCCTGTGGTACATTTTGTCCTATGATGAAATTGTTCAAAAATATTAACAAATGTAAAACCTCCATGTAGCATAATTCCATATGCAACTGATTCTAGAAAGGCAACTGAACTGACAAAGCAGTTTTTGGTTTTACTTTCAAAGGAAAGAGATATTTAGGGGAACAATACACTATTTCTACAGGAACACAGTGCCTTATATTCGAATTTGATGTTTTCTTACTGATTTCTACAGCTCATAAAATTGTGTTAAAATACACCAAGTAGTGTAGTATTTCAGTAAATCTCAATTCACAGTGGCATTAAAAACAAAATAAATTAATTAATATAATGCAATGACCATAAATACTTTAAAATATTCTATGATATACACACACAAAATTAACATATTTTCCTGACAGTATTTCAAGCCTAACCACTCTGAGTATTTTGAAATCACAACAGGAATAAAGCTTTGCCTTCATTACGCTATCGGTTGTTTTACTCTATTTGCATTTCCTTCGATTTCACTAAGAATATCTTTATTTGTTCAATACTTGCCTTTTTCTAATAAATAAATGAGAAAGTTATTCCTCATCTCCTAACTCATTTGCAAAAAATCAGAGTAACCTTGAATTGTGTTACTGTTTCAAGTAACAAGGACACTGGTGCCTACAGTCCATGACATGAAATAAGCCTTTCTTGCCCTTTCAAGAAAGCAAGTTTTCCTTTCTTTGTCCAGCACAGGCAGGACAGAAGCTAAGATGCTTAACATATAGATAGGAAGGTCTAGAGCAGACTAGGAAACGTATTTCCACAGGTAAGGAGATCAGATTGAGGAGGATATAATTTGCTGTTCTTAGGCTACTGAGAATGACAAAGTATTCAGAGCAAGATGTGCAGACATTGCTGTCTTTCTGCCAGCAACACGTACAGGAGATTTTGCTTTACAGAAGCTGAAGGATAGGTAGGACAACTTTTGGCAATTCCCTTCAGTCTCATCCTTCTGTGATGCCATTTGCACTTCTGATTTGCTTTCCCTAATTTCCACTTTACAGAACTGACCTGCCAGGTACAACTGCATTGCAAATTTCCATGACTTATTTCAGACTAAAAATCATGAACTTATTCTGTATCCAGAATTTCAGAACTATATTACGTTTAATGTCTTAACTCACAGAGTCTATAAGATTTAGAACATGTAACTCACATTTTTATTTTTGTTGTATCATCTTTGTATGCAACAAACTCATAACCAAATGCTGAGATTATATCATCCACAACTTTATACTGCGTGCTTTGTGCAAAATTTTGATGCTGTTCACTTTCAAGATGCTGCAAATAAAGAAAAGACATGAAACAAACCTTATACTACAGATATGAGTATACAAATCAAAAGTATATGGAGCAGTAAGTAAATATCATTAATTTATTGCCAGCTTCTCCAAGACATGAACTACTAGTGCCTTCAGTTCATCATATATTCAAGTAGCAATCAAGAATTAAAATCTACAAGGCAAAGAAATACCCACTAGCTGCATTATAGGAGATAGTATTTTAAAATAAACCTTTTTTTTTTAGAATACTTTAAAATAAAACATATATAGAAACCTCTGTTGATACCACACTTAAGGGATATGACTGTATCAAAGCATATACTTGACATTTCACATACTGTTTGTAGATCTTCGTATTTCTTCCCACAACATTCACAATATCCTCTCTTCTTTTTGTCCTTCTGAAGAAGCTGAGCAGGCATTCCACAGTCCTTCTCACTATTTATTTTGTGTCTGTAAAGAGAATATTAATGAGTCTCAGATACGGAGCTGAGCTCTCAAATTGCCTCTCACAATATGTTCATTCTTATTCATTTAAAAAAAAACCCCTACTAAAACAAACTTTTATTCCCCCTTAAACTATTTACATTATGTTAGTCAGTGCTTAGGAAAAAGAAAAATGATGTATAAATTTAAAAACGAAACAAAATCAAAACAAAGCAAAAAATATTTACTGCAAGAAGACAGACGCAGTGGAACATACTGAAATCTCTGTGTATAGCTGGTAAAAGCAAAAAAGAGAAAAAGAGAAGTCTTAACATCCACTGTCAATATTTTTGATGCCTAGAAAACACACGACAAAATCACTTGGTCTGATGGATGACCCCTCATTCTTTGGTAAGAGTAACAGTCATATTTGTTGGTTACACACAAATTTTGAATATCCTGACCAGATGCCATTTTGTTCTGTTTTTCTAGGTACAGGCTAAGTGGGAATCCAAGAAAATGAACCTCAGATTCTTCCTGGAAATTGAAACATGAAGAGGTTTTCAATTGCTGCTCCATGACCTTCACAGTCCTCATCTGGGGAAAGCTACTATTTGCTGCAATTCACTATTAAACCACCCAAGGCTGACATGTCAGCACTAAAGCAAAGTCATCAATCCCTACTTCCCTTTTACTAGAAACAAACAGAGTCATCTCCCTGTCTGGCCAAAAATCACTCTGACAGGCTTTACTAAGTATCTGCAGAGATGTAAGCTCAGGACTTTACACCCAGCAGCCTGTCTTGAAAAATCTCTAGCTCGCAAAGCATAGCAATGTACTGCTCAGAACAATAAGGGCACACTGCTTTTAAACCACAAGTCTAACCTGTCTTAAGAGCTGAGCCAGCACTTCTTGGGCTCCTCAGAACAGGCTCCACCTAGCTGCTGCTTTGACTGCTACATCAGCCTTCACACCTGCCCTCTGGGAAATAAAGTCGCAGAAAACCAGTCTAACACGATAAAAGCGAGAGAATGTATCATCTCAAGACTGAATACTCTCTGCAAGTCTTGCCCAATGCAGAAGCAAGTAGAACTGACAAGTTTGCTTCCACAAGCTTTTCTCCAGATCAAGATAAAATCAATGAGTACCTCCCTCTCTCACTCCCGAAGCTGACATGCCTCACATTTAACAGCCGAGTATAAAACAATCTCCCACTTAAATATCTCTTTGGTACACGCCCACATGACATATTAATTAGGAATACTCATTCAAACATAACTCCTGAAATTTTTAACATATGATATTCCTTAATCCATATAAATGAAAACTGCTTTTTTGGTTCTTCAATGCTTTGTAAAGAATGAGCCTTTCTAACCCCCTCTGAAGCAACACGGTCAGAAATTGCCCTATTAATAGAGCACTAGCATTGCAATGTAGGGTTTTTTGCTTTTTCATACTGCTACATTCGTTGCAATTTAAAAAAAAAGGCATCAGCTGAAAACCTCCAGCACTACAATAATAGTGAAGACTGGACAGAACCTGAACTGGAGAGAAGCCATTTTATAAAGAAAACAGCTATCACACCTAAGTAAGTCTTAGGCCCCAAGGACAGAAAAGTAGTAGGTTACTAAATACAGAAAGCTCCACATATAGCAAAGCTACCTTTCACCTAAATATCTCTAGTCGCTCACAAGAATTAATTTCAGAAGACAATGAAAGATGAGAGGTAGAAAACATTCAAAACAGTAGTTTGATTCGCAAAACCCCCAAATAATTCTCTTAAGTAATTTCAAATCATAAAACTGATTTGCCAAAAGTTCTAACTGCATCTGCAGTGCTCGGATAGAGCCTGAATGCCAAAATGTATCATATAACCACTAGCTGTAAGCCCAACTGCAGTTCTACTGGGCAGCTGACATCTACTTTTCATCTCTGAAGAGTTGAAGCAGTATTAGCAGTCTAATTTCTATAAATTAGATTTTATCAACAATATGCACTCATCATCAACTACTGTGCACTATGATTGAATATCACTGCTTTTAAAAAAAAATGAAACTGCCTGCTTTAGCATTAGACAAATACAAAAGAAGTCTCAAGAAATTCACTTCCTGTGAAATACTTACTGAATGGCATCCAGGATGAGCACAAAGAAGAAACCAGTAGAAGAAAGGCAAAAAATTATCTTATGCTGCCCCAGTGAAAGGAGAAGGCTGCATTTTGGATGTATACATCTGTATGTCCAAGAAAAGGACTAAAGACAGGATAAAGAGGGTACAGAAAGACAGACAGACACCAACAGTGCAGTAAATACATCAGCTGAGTCATGGCTAGTACTATTACATAGCACAGAAAATTAGAAGAGCAATTATGTTAGAAGACAATTACCTTTGAAATAATATAGAGAACAGCCCTCTCCTCTGCCCACACCTCAGTAACAAATTTTCAACAAACCTTTGCTTAGACTGAGTTTGCTTTTGACTGGAAGTATACTTCTTATCCACCTCAAATGGACTATAAGGCTTGGAAACACAGTAGTTCAGAAGTGGAAAACTGGGCAACTGCAGATAAAACGGTCGGTACTGGCTGTGTTAGACAGAACAAGTGCATCAGAACAATCAGAAATGGAAAAAGGAGCGCACAGCACAAATTACATCAGGTCAAAAATCTTGAAAAAGTTTTCTCTTCTACATATACACAGACTGCTAAGAAGATAAATATCCTAGAATAAGTCATATAGTCCTTCCTATAAACTTGATACTGTCCTTCAGTTTCCATAGCTTCCTTACACATTCCCTGCAATAAGACTTTTGTGTCTATTCATTGCTGTGAGTTGGGTAACCAGTAAACCTAAGAACCATTTGGACAACAGTGCATTTGTGCTCCTGAGAAGTAGCTACAGCAGTTCCCAACATTCAGTGCATTTTTACAATTTTTATTTTACCATTTTCTTCTTTTTTAAACAAAAAATTTCATCAATTCACCATTCTAAATATAAAACCTGACCTCCTTGTTCTCCAGAGAGATAATTTTCTTGTGCATCACTGTAGTTGGAAAGTTATCAGAACTAGCAACTGTACCAGTGCTCTGAATATATCAAAAATGTTTAAAATAGGGCATGCCAAAATTTCACACACTGAATCATTCAACTGAAATACTGATGCCAGAGTTCAGCCTGACTTTTTTGGGCTTTTGGGGTACAGAATTTGCATCCAGAAAACCTTGTTAAGATTCAAAGCTTCCAGGTTCCCCTTCATTCATATGGCCCTTGGCAGAAAGTAATTCAAAGAATCCACTCTCATGATCTACAAACTGGAGCTACATCTTAACTTTCTACTTCCATTACCCATTGTAAATATTCCCTACTATACTGCTACTCGTTCAATCTCATTTGGTGGCTAAACACATGTGTATCTTATTCTAAGAGGGCAGTAGCCTTGGCATCTAAAGTCAGGAAGTTGGAGGAAACCAAGATCTGAAGTAACTGATGATTCCTCAAGTAATTCTGAATCGCTGTTTGCGAACCACATTACTGAATGCATGAACAGAACACTTACCGACTTCTATCTTCCACCCTGATAAATGGCTTTTTCAGTCTACCTGCTTAAGGGGGGAGAAAAGGAAATTAAGAGAGAAATACTCTTCTTCATTCAGCAAATTACTCCAGTAGGTGAATAAATAAGCAGACTTTATTTTACAGTTCATTATGGTCACGTTTTGAGAAACTCTTGATTTCCACAAGGTTTTTCTACATGCTTTTCTTGGGCATACAAACTGGAATACAGCACCACACTTGACCACATGAGAACTGCACGTTTTTAAGCACTCAGAAAATAAGGCAAAACATTGAAATACTTACTTTTTGACTTCTGAGCAGTAACATGTTTTCCCTATTGAACAAAAGGGAGAAGATATAAAATCCTTGAGCATTATTCTGCACTTTACTTAAAAGATTTAGCTGTAAGTAATTTTCAGTTATGAGGGTCTCCCTGTGTTAGTCATGACACCGTCACGATGAATTCTGCAGGAAGCTAAGCTCATCAGCACTTCAGAAATATGGTAACATGTTTCTCAAAGAAATATTTATTTCTACACTGCAAAAACCCCACAAGTGCTCTCCTTCAGATGCCTCAATTTATCTTTCCTAAACAAAAACTAAATGAAGAAACCCACAAAGGTAAATTTACCGACTTATGCTCATTCTCAAAAATACCTTCCCACGGTTGACAGTTGATTCTTAACTACAGACAACATTTTTACAACACTTTATAAATGCTAATTAATTGCAAGCTGTAAAATGCCACCAAAACACGTAGATAGCAAGAATCTCCAATGAAAACAATTCTTCTCATTTGAATGGATTTACACAGGTTGGTCCTTTTTTATTTTTAGCAATACAGATTAAAATTAAAAGGACTATTTTGTATTCAGAGAAAAAAGTAAAGTCTACATTCAAGCATCAGCTGTTAATTGTAATTGATTCTGGTAAAGGTACAAACTCTTACTTTACACTACTTGCAAAAAACCCTGACCTGCTATCCATGAACATACTGATGATTTGACAGAAAATTTTATGTGACCTCGATAATTAGCCAATATTATATTCCAAACCAACATAACACACACTAAGTAGTTTGGTTCCATTTACTTTTCACAGTCCCATGCCTGGACTAGGTAATTGTACAACTTCACATGTTTAATTTAAATTACAGAGCAACTGCAGAGTGCACAAGCAGCTCTAAGTTTTAATGTCTCACTGTATCATACACTAAACACCTGAGAAATCTGGATTTTCACAGACCAACTGCACATTATTGGCAGAAAAACTCAAAGATGCTTTATGTTAGTTCTTTAGGAAGGAAAAGTTGCAGTTTCCTTAAAGACAGCTTCTCCAGGAAACATAATTATGATTTTTCAAAATGGCCCATCAAAAGTAAAGCATTTCTCATCACTGTGTCATAGGGAAAATTATGCAAGGCAACTTAACCACAATCTACATCATATTAAAACCACACTACATTTTTTTAATGATTTATTACTTTAGAGGCAGGCAGAATAAAAATTTCACACAGTTCATTACTTGTGATTCTCAGATATCCTTTGCAAGAGCAAAGTTCTACACACCATGTAATCAGTGCCACTATGGAAGTTATTTTTAATAATACTGAAATATATAGGTAATACTTCACATTTTTCAGAGATGGTTTTAAAATCAATTCACAAAATATACTGGTCTGTGAAAAACTGAACACAAGCAAGACTTCATTAAAATATAATCTGCAAATCTTCACAGTAGGCAGCATTCAGCAGACCTGTGTTTTGTCAGTTAATGAAACAAACTGCATTTCCACAAATGGCAAAGAGCCACTTACCATGTCTTTAAAAGAACTGCCTGCTCTTTTGATTAGACAGAGTTCTCTTTTCTTTTGTTCAATGTAATTCTTAACATCTGGCAAAAAGAGGGAGAATTATACTCAGTTGAGTTTATTTTTGTGTGCTTGAAGCAATTTGTAATGCTTAGTATTTTGAATTCAACTAAGAATTCAACTAAAAATTCAAAATGAACATTACAAGTTCAAGGTAGGCTTCATCTAACGAAAATATTTACCATCAATATGAAGTATCTTCACTCCCCAACTCAAGGCATTGGATAGTATACTACCAGAGGGGATTAAGTCCTGCAAACAATAAATAATATTAATAGTGTTAAGCACGATATAGTAGATTTTCTAAAATAATGACAAACAATCACACTATGTAATATGAAAGCTGAGACTGAAGTGCAGACGTTTTGCTTCTTGCCCAAAGACCACTGCTCTCCTCAACTGACTTTTCCATCTCTGCATTACAGCACTTAACCATCAAAAGAATGTATGTAAACTTTCAAAGAGCCAAAACTGTTTTCTACTGTCACACTTTATAGTAAGATTTGAAGGCAGTGAATTTATACATCTACTTTAACCTGACAAGCACCTCTCAAATGTTAACAATCCTGACAAACTGCAATACTCGTCATAAGACTCCACAAACTTTCAGTTCTTCAGGAAGTACCCAGAAAGCATGACCTGACAGTTTACTTAGGACAATCCCTCAATGTCTGCCTGAGCATTCCATGACTGACTTCTCTCTTACACCAACTAAGGCCACTCTTAATACTGCTTGTTCTTTCTAGAAGAGCAAAATTCATTGATTACTTGGCTTACCTGCTCTTTGATTGCTTTTTCAACCAAAGATTTTCCTCTGCTCATACGTACCTGTATTAAAACAGAAACACATTTGTAGCATTTACACATTTACACTGCTCTTAACAAATACATATGTTAGCTATGATAGTCTCCTTTTGCTCACTGTACTGCTAATTTTTCATTAATTTGCATCTTCCTCACAAGTTAATACAGTCTAAGGTAGGGGATAAAGGAATAAAACACCCCAACATGCAATTGTTTTCAGCCAAACAGGTCACTGCATGGCTGGAGCAATGCTAGTGCCGGAACACACTGATGGTGGGAACAAGCAGACAGTGGCACACACCAAAAGAGGAGGTTTCATCAGTTGGGCTTCTGCTAATTAAGCTAACAGCCATGAATATAATCATACCCTCTGTTTTACCCTCTTCTTTTCTATCACTAATGCATCTCCTCTTGTACTTTATGCTGTTTGTTCAAAACAAGCTGCCTTTACTGACCTAGGTTATTTGCAAAACGAGGTGATCTCACCTTTGCAATGCAAAGACCAGCCTGCAGACTGGCTCACAGTCAGGTTTCTAAATAAGTACCACATATATAGTACAACTAATTATTTCCAAGTGTATTTTGAAAGCATGCAAAACTTGCCCATGTAAGAAACTTCACATAAACCTGTATAAATTCAGCTGTTGTCATTAACATGAGCCTCTATGAAAGAACTAAGAAAAACCTTAATATTCACAATGTTTGATTTTAACTATTTCCTTGAACTACTACTAACGAGTGCTTCTGTAGATATCTGCATTGACACCTCACATCAGCCAGATTTTACTAGGCTGTGTAGCTAAAGAGACAGGAACCACTGGATGCCGCCACAAGCCTGTCCATATTGATCCAGCTGTCAAACATAATAATGTCAGTGTTGTAAGTCAGACATACTATAGCTGAACAGATTTTAGTGTACTCTGCTTACTCACAAGAAAAGGCTCCTTTTCTTAATTAGTTCCTGAAGCTTTGCTGAACTACTTTGAGTTACAGTTAAGTTTAATAAGTTAGCCTGAAAAAGTTTAAAAGTATGCTTGAGAGAAAACCCCTTATTCAACCAAGGAATTGCTGCCCTCTTTAGGAAACAAAATAGGACAAACATTTTTTAGGAGCATATCCCATGGATTGTGTTTGATTTGCAGTATTATTACTAAGAAACTTACTGTATGTGCTATCTTAAATGAACTTCCATCATGTCGATCTTTTTGGTTGCTAGGATGAGGTGAACCACTTCCTCCATTACCTGCAGATTCTGGGCTAGGGACAGGAGAAATCTGGCCGAGAGTTTGTGCAAATTTTGCCTCCTTTTTATTAGTCACCAGATAGTTGATATCTTTACTAAGAAAACTCTCCAATCTCTAAATATAAAGATATAAAGCAAATAATTAATTCAGGACAACAGCTCAGTTAACTCAACTTTACACTGCACACTTTAAAGAAAAGTGATAAAACTTCTAGAATAATTAAGTTCAAAAGCATTGAATTAACAAGAAGATACTTTCTAAATATCTGGATGACAATTAGACTGAGTTGTACTAGCATCTTATCAGTCAGGAATTCTAATTTCTATTTCTTAATTCTGTAATCTTTATCAAAAGAGCTTTGCTTTGTTTTCATCATCATCATTTTTTGGACTAGTCAGTGGTAATACTTTCCAAATAGAAGATTTTAAACACTGCAATGAGAAGGGGAAACCACTGTATATAACAGAAATTACAAAGAAATGTTCAGCTAAACTTAAGGGCACATATATGTAAATGAAATTTACAGTCTGCAAGAAGCTATAATTTATTGAGTTTAGAACCAGCAGAAAAATCAAAATTTCAGGAAAATTACCATGTTTCACACCTATAGTATTTTAACATTTCTTGAAAAAGTAGAATTCTTTAGTAGATTCATATTCTTATTCAGCAAGATAAAAAAAGTGGTTATCCTATGCTTATTCTCTTCCATTTTGCTCCTCCAGTCTTTCATTGCCAACTATTGTGTGACTATCAGCTCTATTTGCCTGTTATTTCTTGCAAGTTTATGTAACAAAGTATTTTCCTCTTTCCCACTAATCAGCATGGAAAGCACAAATCACACAGGCAGCAAGCTTGAAACTCTGCCTTCCAACTCTGCTTCATGTACCTTCCCCAGAAAGGAGACATACAGAGAGAGGCACTTTCGAGTGCACTCTACACTAGTGAAAACAAAACATGTGGTAATTGATCTTGAAGGTGTTGAGCACCTCAGATTTAGGCATTTACTCCTCAGAATAATGCAGAAAAACTTCCTTTTCAGTCTTTGATTTGACCTTTCACTTCACATATGAATTCCTAAATTCTGTTTTAGAGAGTAAGACAAAAGACAGTGTGCACTCATTTGATGTTAAATGTAAAATGATGAATGTAATTCCAAACTGTGTTATTGCTATTCCTTACTGCTCCTATGAATTCAGACAGCATCTTGATTTAAAAGCATCAAGTTCATAAAGCTGGCTCAATGCTCCTCTGACGTCAAAGTATTGCCAAAGCAACGTTCAGAACAGTAGCAATTTAAACAGATACCTTTTGCTTCTGTGCTTAAAGTGTGTTTAATTCTTTAACTGCAACATTTTCTCTACATTAATTCAAATATTCAACTTTCAAGTGGACTAAGCAATTGCATTGCCTGTGTTGCTATCATATCCTGAACTTGCTTGTATCAAAGTTTCTTCCACACAGAAGAGAAAATAAGGAAAAAAAGTAGTAAGATATTTTAAAAACTTCATGATTTAAACAAGAGTATTTAAAAATACTAATTACCATACTCTGTGCAGAAAGTACTTATTGAAGTTACTGACTTATAGTAAGCATATGCAAAACTCTTTCTTTAATCTCTCTCGGGTTCAGCTGAATGACTTTAGTTGTAACATGTAAACATGCCAATATAGTGAGAATCAGCAGAGAAAAGCCACCTCAAACAACTAAAGTCATTAACTTTGTATAAATTTTAAGCCAAGTGAATAATCAACTGAAAACAAACCTTTAACATAAACACTTTTGTTACAATCAGCAAAGCAGCTGCTATTGAAAAACCACAGAATACTTTCTTGATAAGCTGTTTGTTAAACATTAAGACAAACATAGAAAAACAAAATCCCATCACTGATAGAATACAAATAACATTAAAATGCAGTCACAACATGAGGAACACATTCCACACATGCAGATTTCCTTGTAGTTTCATACAGGTCTCTGCTTATTAACTTACTTACCCCTCCCAGCTCTTTGAGGTCCTTTTCTATTTTTTCAGAGATCACATTTGATGGGATATCGAGGTAAAACACCTTCCCAGTGAGTGGCTTATATTTAAGTTTCTCTGGTTTTCCTGTATCTTTTTTCACATTCTTCAGAGAAGATCTTAACTTTTCTGGTTTTCCTTGTATTCCATCAGCTGGGGAAAAAAAAAAAAAAGAAAAGGGAATTTAAATACAAGTGGTGGGGTTTTTATTTACAAAAAGGAAAATTCATAAATGATAGAAATAGACACAGTCAGCTTCCACAGAATCACAGAATGGCTTGGGTTGGAAGGGACCTTAAACATCATCTAGTTCCAAACACCTTGCCATGGACAGGGATACCTTCTCAGTGGTTTGGCAAGTATTTACTGCCTGTGTACCACAGTACATACACTACTTGCACAGTCACTGAGAATCACACTAAAACCATTTTAGAACAGAACTTCTCTTACTCATCTGGAACACAAGAGATTTATATAGACTCATTGAAACAAACCCCCAAAATAGTCAAAAGTAACTTAAACACCAAAAAAATCTAAGATCTGCATCCTAGCATTTATCTGAACTTTCAGCACACACCTGAGACGCAAGACAACTAAGCTTAAAGTTCA